CTCTGACTGACTTGTTGAAAGAGATCCAAGTCTGGCCGTTGCACCGATTAAACTGGCTTTAGCTACAGGGCACAGTCTAAGGAGGCAGGGAACGAGTTCACAGTTGCTTCATCCTCAGTCGTTCCTGGTCCTTCATTCCCTTTTCGCTCAGTCACTGTTTTGTTGCAGCAGGATTCCCAAAAAGGGCTTCGTCGAGGTGACTGAGCTAACAGACATCAACTATAACAGCAACTTGGTACGCCTGAGGCCAGGTCACATGAACGTGGTCTTGATCCTGTCCAACTCGACCAAAACCATCCTCCTCCAGAAGTTTGCCCTGGAAGTCTACACATTCACAGGGTAGGCTGGGGCCCTCTCCCGGGTTTCTCTTACTGTTTTAACAACTTGTGTAATGCTGCTCTGATGACAAGTTAGGAGTGGTGTTGGCTCAATTGCCAGGAGGGAATGCTTCTGGCAAGCAAAGCAGCCTCCATACTCATTAGCGGCAGCGAGACGCCGAAAACTGAGCAGCCTTTCCCAGCTGTACTCGGTGAAGGTGACCAGACAGGTCTGGCGCTGCTGCTGCTTTGGCTGTACCCACATTTCAACAAATGTAGAGCAGGACAGTGCTGCACACTAGGTAACCGTCACCCGTGCTGGACTGGGTTAAAAAAAAGGAGCTGTGGCGACACAGCTCTGCGCTTGCCCTTGTTTACAAACACTTACCTGTCTGGTAGGAATCCAGCCTGACTTGGGAGACGTGCTAATCCTGCTTCTCCTCTGCTCTTCCCCTAGGAGCAGCTCTCTTCATTTCTCCTTCCTCAGCCTGGACAAGCACCGAGAATGGCTGGAGTACCTGTTAGAGTTCGCACAGGATGCGGCCCCCATCCCAAACCAGTACGACAAGCATTTCCTCGAGCGCGACTACACGGGCTACGTCCTGGCTCTGAATGGCCACAAGAAATACTTCTGCCTCTTTAAGCCTCACAGATCGGGAGATGAGGGGGGAACCCTGGGATCGTGCGAGGATTACGATTCCTCACTACACACAGAAGCCAGAGGGAAATCCTCCTGCAGCCCGGGATCTAGATTCATTAAAAACAAATTACACAAATTGTCCTTTTGGATGGAACGCCTCCTAGAGGGTTCCTTACAGAGGTTCTATATCCCCTCGTGGCCCGCGCTAGACTGAGGGATTTTAAAGAAATTCTAACGGACAAACTTTTTATGAAGATGACAAGGGACAGCTCTTTCCAGGAATACATAAACAAGCGTGACGAATGGACCTTAGGTTTTAGATGAACTCTCCTAGGGCCGGCGACTAGAAAATATCTCCCTGTGTCTGGAGCCCAGGAGCGCGGCCAAGCGCACCAAAATTCCCTCCACCTACTCCATGTGTTCGGAAGCCCTACTACCGAGGAGCCAAGAAGTTTTTCCCTTCTTGTCCTGCCACATCTGCTTCCCAAGTCACCCCCGTTCCATCTCTTGTTTTACCTCGGTTGAAGAAAAACCCACGACTTCTCTGCCGTGGTGACTCGGTCCGGACTGAACGTGGCCGGTGATGCAGGTCGGGTCGTGGTTCTCCCTCCCCTTCCCTGTGCTTAGGCCGTGGTGCATGGTGTAACACTGGCAAGACCCTGCAGACCCTCCCAGGCCCTGCCCTTCTGAAAGGCCTCCACCCACCAGGCAGTCGTACTTTATCGGCTTTCCCCATGGTAAGTGATCTAGAGAATGGTCAGGAGCATCTCCCTCGTAGCAAACCTGTAGCTGGGACTCGCCTGTGGTGCGGGCTAGTAGGTGGTCTGCATGTTTCATGCTCTTCGTGTCATAGTTCCACATGCAGCTTCGCCGGCTAAACCATAACCGGGGAGGGACGGGGTTTTGCACGGCCGTAAATACTGTAAAGGTGTTGAGCCATTTAAATGTCACATTGATTTTTCAGATGCCTTTCTGCTTTTGTCGATTTTAGACGATGTATCCTAGAGCCATAACTTTAACTGTGTCCTCAGATTGTAGGCGTGAGCTGCTATGAGCCAGTAGATGTGTAGAAGAAACTCTACCTAGCTGCTAGGGAGTCGGTCCGGGCTCCTTTCAAGCACCCTTACGTCTGTAGTACAAACCAACCTTTCTTTGTATCAAGGAACCTGACTCTTCAACGATTGTATTCTTGAAATGTTGCCCCAGAAGTGCTGTATCATCAGATCATCGCTTACGTGTGAAACTCCTTTTGGTTTAGGCGTGGGTTTAAGATGCTTGGTTTCAGCCTCTCACCTGTTTTCTTCTTGCCACAAATCTTTGTTTCTCAACATGCAGGCTGCTGCCTCGGTTTTCTGTTTGTTTGCATTGGGTTTTTTTTTTGTCTTTTTGAATTCATAGGTCTGTGTGAAGCTAGAACAGTCGTAAAGTGCAGGGTTTGGTTTATGCTTTGCTCTAGCAGTGCTCCAACAACCACTTTCAACACTGCAGAGGGAACGGGTGGCCCTTTGTAAGGTGGAGGGAAGGCAAGCAGCAGACTCAGGGCTGCTTTCCACTCCTCAAGCGATAAAGCAAAGCAGCAGGGTTTCTCTTCGCGGCCAGGACTGAAATCCTGTGGGGTTGTTCTTCCTTTTCACTGCTTCAGGGCAGATGCCGGGGCTGGTACTTGCTGCGCCTCCTCCAGCCGCTCTGCGCAGGACCCAAGCCCCCGCCGTGCCAAGTCGCTGTTAGGCTACAGCACTGCCCAAGCACGGGGGGCTGAGCAGTGTGGCCTTTGCCACAGGGTGCTGAACCCCACGGTAGAGCACTTGGTCAAGCATGTGGTGTTAATTAAAAGCTCACTCAGCCTTTGCTGCCTTAGTTACCATCTTAGTGGAGCAGCCAGTTAGTAGGAATAACTATGCCAGTCTCTGAGCTAGCTGCCGATCCTGTACAAAATCCGGGAATGCTCAAGTCATTTTACTGCCTACATGACCTAGTTGCTCACAAACCCTTGGCTTGCTGCATTCCTCCCCGCCCTGGGAGCAGATTGGCGTGCTTCGACCACCACAGGTATCTCAAAAACCGTGTAAAATGTACTTCCAAATAAAGGCTACGATGCTACCAACTGACCCTATGTGAGGTTACTTAATTTTAGCTCAGTGGACTCTGAGCTCGTGCTGCTGCATGAATGAGGCACTAGAGTAGAGGGAAGGAAGGCAGGCGAGGTCTTCTCCCTGCCAAAGAGCTCCAAGGCGCACATGTACTGCTGACATAGAACGGGAGGGGGAACGAAACGCTGGCCTGACGCTGCTAGACTTCATTTTCATTTGGCTGGAGCAGTTGCCGTAGCACTCTTATGTTTTTCCCGCAGCTTACCATGCAGGATGTGGCCAGAATAAGGTTGTAGCCCAGTGGCAGGCTCCACATAACTTTTTAAATGTTTGCAAAAGCAAAAAAGAATACTCTCTGTGTCTCTGCTGTCTCTTCAGCTAGTCAGAAACCAGGAGAAAACCCTTGACACGTTATAAAACATGCCTAGTTGTGCTACAGCAAGGGAATTCAGCCCTGCCCCAAGTAAGAAGATGAGGCCTTATGGCCTTCAAACTGCAGTTCATGTGCTGCACACCTGCTGGAATCCATTTTTAATTTTCTTTTTAGCACAGGTAACCTCCCCTTTTAGACTGAGTTTTGTTTAAGGAATGCTTGCAGCAGTCCACCCTTGCTGGCTGTGGCTGGACAGGAGCACAGGAGCACAGCTCCTGTTCAGCTCTAACTCTGCTCTTCACTGCTTTTAACCAGGTCAGACTAACTTGGCTGTTTTATGAAAAAACTTCTTTCATGGACTGAAGCAAAGGCCAAACTGTTCTAAACCCCTCGTTTAGTTAGCTTTAGCGTCCATTGTGGAGCACCGGGTGCTTGGTTTCTTGTAGAAGAGCGTGGTCGGAGGCTGCTTACGCCTGAGGTCTGTCCGCCCTCTCCCAGCAGTCGCGAGCCAACACCCCCCGATAATTTTCTAACATGCCGCCTCCAGCAGCGCTCGACTCATATCATAACGTATCATCAGCAAAATGCACTTGCGATTCATTTATGCACATGGTGGTTGGTAATCCAAAGATTGAGGAAATTCAGTCCTAATGCACTATAGTGAAATCTGAGCAATCGCACACTGCTCAGAAGCTGAAGCAAAGGGATGCAGGCCCCCAGTCTAAAGGTTGTACCAAAACTCCTCTCTGTACCGAGCGTGGTGGGCAGCAGCCGTCCGTGGCTGCCTGCCTCCGCAATGCCGTTCACCGAAAGCCTGCCAGGAACTAGTGCACTAACGCAGCCTGAGAAGTAGGACTGAAAACTAGGTACATATTTTGCACTTTTGATACTGGGACGGGGGGGGGAATTAACTTATTTGGCAAACTTGTCTTTTTTATTTTGGGGTTTTTTTTGTATTTGTGAACAGGCACTGATGTCATTTTGTTTTAAGACGATTACAGATTCGCAACCAAAATAAACTATTTTAATGTGTGATGAGGTGGCTCTGTGTTTCCATGTACAAACTGACCACGCCTCCGCGTCAGCTCAGAAATTCCAGGGGCAATTAAACCGCTCCTGCCACAGGAGATGCCTGGTTATTCCCAGCAGGAAATTCAGTCGAATATCCCCCTACACTCAGAACGAGCCCCAGGCCGCCTTCGGCTGCCCTCCCTTCCTGTACATTCATTGTCCTGCTGCTGTGTCTTATTGGGAGAAATCTTTTACCAGTGACGGTTTTGCCGTGAGCCCTTATGAGCCAGGTGAGTAATTCCAGCTGTGAAAGCAGAGGCGAAGTGCCATTAGCCTCATCTTTTCCTTTCCCAGGCAAACTCAAAAGCTACAGAGACCAGTAAATGGGCTGTTCAAACCCGTTTGCTACCTACAGGTTATCAGCTTGAAATTACCTTTTCTAGTGGTAAATGGCATTTATTCCTTACTGCAAAGCCTGCGTTTGCTGCAACTGGCCGAGGAGAACAGGACATGGAAAGCCTCGGCTGAGGTCGGAGCTGCGTTGCCCCTGGGGCAGGCGGGAGCTGCCCTCACATTGTCGTCACCCTGGGGAGAACGCACAGCATCTCGAACAGCAGGTTTGCCCCCAGGAGGGCTGTGTTACCTGCAAAAAGACAAAAAGGGGAAAAAAACAAGCCATGAATGCCCAACCGCTTTCACCCACGGCGGTCAGCCGCCTCTGCCAGGCACACGTCTTACTCTCAACCTCCTTAGACTCACCGGAGACATCGTACATCGGCGCAACTTCTACAAGGTCACACCCCACTATGTTCAGCCCTTTGCAGCCACGAATGATCTCCAAAGCCTAGGAAAAAAACAGATTTGGGATCAAGAAACACATCTGACCCAGCGGACTGGTCGGGGCTCTGCTTTCCTCATGTGCAGCTAAGGAAACCCAGCCTACAAGACCAAATCACATCAGTTCAACATTCCCTTTCCTCATTACCACTACGAAATGCTCCCTGGCCTCCCTAACTACTTGCTTTGCTGTGCTGGTGGCACAACCTTCTTTAATGGGAGCAAAAATGTCCCCTTCCCACTGGGAAATGAAGCCGCGTCCCCCTTACCTGCGCAGGCGTGAGCCCGGCTATCTCCGGCGTCCCGGTGCCCGGAGCGTACGCGGGGTCTAGTGCATCGATATCGAAACTGATGTACACTGGCTGGTCCCCCATCTGCTTCCTCACCTCCCCCATCAGCGGCAGCAGGGACCTCCTCCAGCACTCTTCAGCCGGGACCACCCGGAAACCCTGTGGGTGCAGACATGCAGGCGCCCGCTCAGGGAAAGGCGGGCAAAGCGGAGCATCCCCTGCCCCGTCGGGGATTTCTGCCATGATAAATCCCCATCCCAGGGCCAAGCTGCAGAGGTGCACCTTGAAGCCCCCTCCGCTCACCCCCCACTTTCTTATTCTTTGCTGAGCTAACAGCTTGGCACGCCAGGAGCATTTGTTCTGTGGGGTAAGCCACTGGCATGGGACAAGATGCAGAGAGACATTTCTTTTCCTGCTGCAGCAGA